CGACATTGAGCTTGCACCCCTGCACACCTCGCTCTTCGGATTCAATGGCTCGGAGGTCGCACCCCTGGGAGAAACCACGCTCGCTGTCGTCCTCGGGGAAGGCAACTTGAGGAAGGTAAAAACGGTGCGATTTGTAGTGGTCGACGTCGAGTCGGCCTATAATGTGATTTTGGGAAGACCCGCACTCAACACATTCCAAGAAGTAGTGTCAACCTACCACATGAAGCTAAAGTTCCCCGTGGGAGATAAGGTAGGGGAGGCTCGAGGAGACCAGAGATTGTCAAGAACCTGTTACCAAATAGCAGTAAGAACAAACCAACGGACGGAGGTAAAAGAAGGAAAAAAGCCAATGCCAAACGAAAAAAGACAAAGGGAGAGTGACCTAGAGCCACATGGAGAATTAATGGAAATCCAAATCGGGGAAAAAAAGGAGCAAACCACTAAAGTAGGGAAAGAGTTGGAAGATGGGTTGCGTCAACAGTTAGTGGGACTGTTGAAAGAATTCAGGGACATATTTGCTTTTTCCCCTGAAGAGCTAACCGGAATCGATCCCGATGTCATGGAGCATAAGCTTAATGTCGACCCCCTGAAAAACCCCGTGAAACAACGGCTTAGGCACCATGGCGTAGAGATCGACAAAGCCATAGAAGTCGAGGTGGATAAGTTGCTGAAAGCCAAACATGTCAAAGAAATTCAATTCCCAGAATGGATATCAAACACAGTGATGGTGAGGAAAGCGCTAAATAAGTGGCGTATGTGTATTGATTTTCGTGATTTAAATTTAGCTTTCCCAAAGGACCACTACCCCCTGCCGAGGATCGACCAGCTGGTCGACTCCACAGCTGGCTGTCAATTGCTAAGTATGATGGACGCGTCCCAGGGATACCACCAAATTCCCTTGGCTCCTGAAGATCAAAGCAAAGTTAGTTTCGTGACGAGCAAAGGGACATATTGTTATGTCGTTATGCCCTTCGGACTTAAAAACGCAGGGGCAACATACCAAAGGTTGATGGATCGAATGTTCAAATCGCAGATCGGGCGAAATATGGAAGTTTACGTGGACGATATCTTGGTGAAAAGTAGGTCCTCGATCTCGCATGTAGATGACTTGAGGGAAACGTTTACGACACTAAGAACATTTGAATGAAGCTAAACCCGAGTAAATGTGCCTTTGGAGTGAGGGCAGGACGATTCCTGGGTTATACCGTTACTGAAAGAGGTATCGAAGTGAACAAGGACAAAGTGCAAGCCATACTCGACATGGCCCCACCAAAGAATGTTAGAGAAGTGCAAGTCCTGACAGATCGAATTGCAGGCCTAAGTCGATTCATAGCTCGGGCGGCGAAAAGGAGTTTCCCATTCTTCAAGTTACTCAAGAAAAAAGCTTTGCAGTGGAGTGACGAGGCTCAGATGGCGTTTGAAAAGTTGAAAGAGTTTTTGAGCGAACTACCTTTGTTAACAAAGCCGGAGCCGGGTGACGAATTGGTGCTCTATATCTCGGTGGGAATCTTTTCTTTGAGTTCTGTATTACTGCGAGAAGCTGGAGGGGCCCAACAGCCGATCTATTATACTAGTCGAGTACTTCAAGGCGCAGAAGCGAGATATTCCGAAGTCGAGAAGGCCGCATTAACATTGGTGCTCACAGCCAGAAAATTGAAACCGTATTTCCTGAACCATGTGATAATAGTAAGGACGAATTTCCAGCTCGGAGAGACCCTGGGTCGACCTACCGTGTCAGGTCGACTTGTAAAATGGGCGGTCGCACTTAGCGAATTTTCCATCAAATACGAACCTCGACGAGCTATAAAGGCCCAAGCTCTAGTCGACTTTATCCAAGAAGGGACTAAAGGGGCAAGCAAGAAATGGATAATGCACGTCGATGGGTCCTCGTCAGCCAGGGGATCTGGTTTGGGAGTAGTCTTAGTATCTCCCGAAGGTGAGCAGCTCGACTTTGCCATTAGAATAGGGTTTAAGGCCTCGAACAACGAAGCAGAATACGAAGCTTTAATTAAGGGGATCCAACTGGCAATCGGGGAGGAGCGACGGAAATCATGGCACATTCTGACTCACAGCTTGTTGTGGGGCAAGTATTGGGAAATTGCGAAATCAAAGAGGATCGGATGATAAAATATGTCGAGGAAATTCAGAGCCTGGTGCAAGGCTTAGAAAGTTTTGAGCTGACGCAAGTGCCTCGAGAAGAAAACAAGCGAGCCGACTGGCTCGCAAGAATCGCAAGTTTAAATGA